ATCTGTCAATATGCAGGTGATGCCCAAATCTCTATTCCAAGAGGAGGTAGGCCGACGTAATGAGAAAGAAGTCATTACTGCTCACCCTGATAATCCTCAGACCAAAGATGCTGGGCAGGTCCCCCTCACTGGTCAGAGTTTCCTCAGTGGGCAGAACCTCCTTGCTAGGCAGCTACCCATAGCTGAACAGGGTTCTCCACCTGGTCAGCCTCCCTGTACTAAGCAACTCCCTGAAACTGGTCAGCTTCCTTTCACTGGGCAGACCACTCTTACCAATCAGCTTTCTCTCCCTGGGCAAGTACCCTTCACCAGGATGCCCCCCTCTACCACCACCAAAGATCCCACCCTGCCAAGAGGGCCCCTCACCTCTGGAGAGCCTTGCCAGGTTTCCACCCAGGAAAATGAACCCTTGGATCTGCCTGCCCATGTAGAGGTACTTCGAGTGCCCTTGGCCCCAGAAGAGACCTGTAGCTATAGGAATAGAGAGATGGTCGGTATTGGTAGTGCTCAAAGCCCTAGTATGCATCAGCTCTCATCCTGGCAACCTGGTAGCTCCCCCAGGGCCCAGGAAGAACATCTTTCTCTGATTGCATTTACCACACCTGGCACTGGCTGCAAAGTCTTGCCCATGGCCATGGTGGACACTGAATCTCAGAGTGGGAACCATTTCAAGCTGACAGCTGAGGACATTACACATTCATCAGTGGTCACGCATCTTGGCCTGCTCCGTGGGGCCTGCTATGAGCTGGTGTCTACCATGGATGCTCTGTCAGGGCGGTCACCAGTTCTCTGCCGTCACTCTTCAAGCCCCTACCAGAACATGGCAGCTGTAGTGATTGATACAGGCACAGGATTCACCAAATGTGGTTTGGCTGGTGAGGACCATGTCCTCAATGTGGTACCCTCACAAGTTCAGCTGCTGCAACATCCAGCCCAGGGCCAGCCCCGGTATGCAGTGCCGGAAAACCAGGAAGGCTCCTATCCTGTACTGAATCGGGGTGTGGTCTCTGATTGGGATGCACTAGAGGTGCTGTGGCAGCACCTGTTCTATTGCAGGCTGGGGGTACAGCCTGAGGAGTTGGCTGTGCTTGTGGCTGACTCCCCCATCTCACCACGTACTAACCGAGAAAAGGTGGCAGAAATACTCTTTGAGCGTTTCCATGTGCCAGCCATGCAGACAGTGCATCAGGCCCTGCTGGCACTCTATGCTTATGGGCGTACCACTGGGTTGGTGCTGGGCAGTGGCCATGGCACCTCCTACGTGGCACCCATCCTCACTGGGGATCTGGCGCCACTTGACACCTACCGCCTGGATGTGGCTGGTGCTGACCTTACTGACTACTTGGCTCAGCTGCTGCTGGCAGGTGGCCGTTCACCACTTAAGGCAGGGTTCGTCAACCAAATTAAAGAGTCCTGCTGCTATGTGGCTATGGACATGGCGGCTGAGATGGCCCGCACCCAGACCCAAGCCCAAGTGGACTTTGTACTCCCAGATAAGCAGATTGTCACACTGGGCTCTGAGCGCTTCTGTTGCCCTGAGGCTCTCTTCCAGCCCAACCTGCTAGGTGTCAACCAGCCAGGACTTCCACAGCTGGCCCTGCTAAGCATCAGCCGACTAGAGGCCAAGCAGCAGAAGCAACTGCTGGCCAATGTGGTGCTGGATGGTGGCAGCACCCTGGTGAGTGGCTTCCCTGAGCGCTTAAGACAGGAGCTAGGCCCTGGTGCCACTGTGCTGGGCTCTCCCCACCGTGCAGTTGCTGCCTGGCTTGGGGGTTCCATCATGGCATGCCGGGACTCCTTCCAGAGCTTGTGGCTTAGCCGCCGTGAGTACGAGGAGGAAGGCCCATGGGCTATCTACAAGTACCAGCTGTGAACATAAAGTTCTGGTTCTGCTTGCTTTAAGCAATGTTGCATGTTTCAGGCATAGTGTCGTGTGGGGGGAAAAGGAGTTCAGGCACAGAATCAGGAATGGAGGCCTGCATTCTGATACTCCATGGGCTCTGGCAACCTGCCCTTTCTGGATCTGAGGCCCCTTGGCTGGCATTGGCTGTGATCTGGCCTGACCTTTACTGTACCCCAAGGGCAACCACAGAGAGTGGCTGCTGTGGGTTTTGCCCTGTTGCTCTGACGACAAGTGTAATTATCCTTGATTGCCAGCTAGTTGCCATGGCAATTTCAAACATAATGTAATAACCCACACAGCCTGGTGTGAGTCATGAGGTGGGGGATGGGGGTCAGCCCCCTCCCCTAGCTCTAGAAGGAAAGACTGCTTGCCCTCCCACATCTTGGACCCTCTTCTGGGTGCTAAAGACAGCAACATGGACAATAGCTGGGCAGTTCTAAAGATGGCTGAGGATATGGCATTGCCCCTAAAGGGAGGGACCTTGTCAGGGTCAGTCTGGGCTTCTCAGAGGAGCTGGCCTGGTAACACAGGTACCCTCCTAGAGTCTGAACCTTGGCTGGAGTTCTGTGCTGTGTTTGTCCAGTCAGAGAATGAGGGCCTGGGAGTACTGGCCTTTCAAACACAGGGTAGGAAGTAGAGAGGGCCAAAAAGTCCTGGATCCTAGATGGGAGGCACAACCTGAGATGGGGAGAGTAGCACTGATCTGCACTGTAGGCTCTGTAGATTCTGAGACTCATGTCTTCTCCTGCCCCTCTGATTTGCTAGCTTTGGTAAAAGCTAGAACTATAAATTTTGGACTCCCTTCTTTTCCCTAGCCTCCCACTTCAGGAAACTCCTTCCTGTAGGGTGCCCAGAGTACAGTTCTCAAGAGGGTTCTCACAGAGGCAATGCAGTGCCAACTACCGCTGCTCTTGCCTCAAACTCTGTCCTATGCTGAAAGGCTTCTCATCATCCCTGTTAGTGGGTAGTTAGAAGCCAAGTCTGTTGATACTGCCTAGCTCTGAAGAGGAAAATAGGAAAAAAGATTGGGTTTGACCCAGTGCATGACCCAGAGCTGAATGAATGACATTCAGTGGTGTTAGTATCCCCTGTCCAGAGGGCAGCTACATGTTGAAACATTCAAGTTGGTCATACTTTTCCTGGCTGGATGCTGAGGGACAAGCCATGTCTTCAGGTTGCCTTCCACAAATGACAAAGACTTATCTACCCTCACATATACTTGAAAGTAAGGGGTTGCCCTAGTGCGGAGCTTGGAAACAATGATCTATGGATGTCACAGACCTTGCCCACCCCCCAGGAATGGTCTAGCCCCTTCCTATATCCTGCTTCCATAGCTTGATTCAGCCTCCACAATCCTGAGACTTGTGTCAGGCAGAAAGAAGGACCCACATCTCTAGGGACTAACTACAGCATTAATATACACATGCCAGCTAGCACGCCTGAGTGCACACAGAATACAGACACACGTGACCCTGGGCACCACTGCACACACTGTGCTGTTGCCATCTCTCTGAGCATAAAAGAACACAACATATACACGTGTGCGCATACACCCTGCCACGTGCTCTCACCCACACGCATACAGAGTGTGCACAGGACCAAGAAGAAGTGGAGTACTGCCAGCATCAGGCAAAGCTCTAGAGAGCCACCCCTTCCCCTGCCTATAAACCCCCATTTCAGCTTCTTGTTGGTCCCATGCCTGGATAGTTATGATCCTTGGGAAAGACAGAAAATGTGTATGACACATGGGGTCAGCAATTCATGACTTGGCTACCACATACAACTCAGAGTCCCATCATTTTAAGGATAGTGGGCAGATGGCAAGAAGGACTCAGTGCCAAGCCATTCATTCATTCATTCTGCAAACATTAGCTAAGCATACTGAGATGATAGTCTTTGCCCTGCACATGCCTGGCTTGCCAGGAGATTCCTACCCAGCAGTGTTGTGTGTCATCACAGCGACCACCCAGAACTTAGGGAGCACAGAGGGGCCTGCAGAAGGTGAATCAAAGCTAAGGAAAGATATTAAGGCTCCTCAATACCCCATCTGGAGGAAGACAGAGTGGCCTTGGTTGAGGTAGTCATTTCCCAGGCTAGTTTTCTAGTTCTATTCTCAATTTCTTCACTTAGTCTTTTCTGTCATCAGCTATGGGTAGCCATGCAGAAGAACCTCACTCAACATGCCTAAGAATTTGGGGATAATCCCATTCTGCCCCCACCCCTGAAGTCAGGGCCAGATGGCTTACTGGATATTGAAAGGCTTAAGTCTTGCCTTTTAGATACTGGAATGGTCCTCAGTGCTTGTGAGGGGAATGGGGGCACATATTGGTTCCATGTACAAAGGATGAAGATGAGGTCAAGGACTTCTTTCAAATCTTCTTCCTAGCAGTTCTGAGCTTTCTCCTTCCAAGTCCAGGCTTGGTGGAGTACATTGGTGCCACAGTTCTCCTGTGACCCCATGTCCCAGCTCATGGGGTGGGGTTGCTCATGAAGCGTTCGGGGGTGATTACAGTGGGAAGAAAACAGAGCACACACCATGTCATAGGTGACTTTTATCCGTTGGAAAATTCAACACCATACAAGAGGGAGCAGACTGGGCCAGCAACCCTGGCTGTTACATCTGGGAAAGACTTCTGTGTTGCAGGAGTTGGGGTTAGGATGGCCTGGGGCCCTTGTTGCGTTATCTTCTGATCACTTGCACATACACACACCCCTGAGTGTTTACTGCTCCTAGGTAGAAGAATGCTCTAGCAATTGCCCAGTTGGTTCTCCTACGTGGGTCCCGCCCTTTGGATTGGGTTTGGGGAACTGGGTGGAGCCCTCGTCCCCCAGAGACTACGGTCAAGTACTAAAAGCTAAGAGACTTCCGTGCAGCTCCAGGGTTTAGGCTTTTCCCCAATTCCCCACTCCCTACCACCTACATTGGGCCCAGGATGGCCCCTCTGGCCTCTGTTGCTGGGTCGATCTGGAAGTCCGAGGTCTTAAGGGAATCGTTGAGAGCATGGTTGGGGCTCACCAGCTTCGACACCAATCCGCTAGTGCCCTCCCGCGAGTGAGATCCCAAGGTGGGGGCAGGCCCAGATAGGAGGCCCCGCCTCCAGCCCGCCCCCGGCCCGGGGTGCGAATCCATTGCCGGCTAGCGGCTGGCGATGCTGGAGGTTCGCGAGCTGAAGCGGCTGCAGCTGGCGCCGCGTCTGCCCCGCGTGCCCCAAGCGGATTCTACCCGCCACTCTCGGAGCCCTCGGCGCCCTGCTGAGTCCGCGATCGTTTCCCCTCTGTGACCAACCAGAGCTGCAGGTGCGGGAGCTGGGAGGGTTGGGCCCCGGGTTGGGGGGCGTCTCCTGGACGCATGTTGGGGGGCCTTGGGGGATTGTTTTCCTGGTTAGAGGTTCCTAGCGCAGAGTGCGGGGGAGGGGGGTGGCGCGAGGGCTCGGGGTCCCAGCGGGAGCACAGCTCGCGGGCTCTGCAGATGGGGGGGGGGGTTGGCGCGCGGGGTCGTTGAAGTTCCCGATTACCTCGGACGGCTGGGGTGGGGGGTGGGGGTCCCGGGGGAAGCCTTTGCGGTTACGAATTGTGAAAACCTTAACCCTCGAAGATCGTGGTGCCCCATGAGGGTAGGGGCCAAGGGCTGAGCCATCCCTCCCCGCTCCCAGAGACGCCAACAGCCCCTCCCAACTGCCCCCAGGCCCCCACCCTCGGGCTTAGCAGTCACTAATTTCCATGACAACGGAGAGTTCTTTATGGGCGACAGCCAGAGGGGGCTGGGCGGGGCTGCTGCGAGGTTGGGGGAGGAGGCTGCAAGCTCCTGGGGACCAGCAGCCCCCCCAGCAAAGTTCCAGCTTCCAAGTCTTCTCCGGAGGGCCAACAATGTGTGTGTGGGGGGGTGGTCCAAAGCAAGGACCCACGTGCGCGGTGGGGGTGCCAGGCGCACATGTTCCAGCTGGGAGGTGCGGGGCTTGGTGCTCACACGTGTGCCTCCCGCATGTGTGTTGCTGTGCCAGCGGGGGCGAGCCAGCAGCGCTGGGGAAGGGGGTCAGGGTGGCACCCTGGTGGGGAGCAGGGCCCCTGACTGTGGGTAACTGGGAACGGTTTGAGTTGAGCTTCTGCTTTCCCCAACTTGAACTGTCTGGCAGAGACCCTGGTGACTCTTGAGCCCCAAACCCCCCTATCCCGTCCTCCCCCACCCCCCACCAACTGCTTTTATCTGCAGACCCTAGACAGAGCCTGCTCCACCAGGTTCCTTCCTAGGAAACAGGGTCCTCTGTCCCTCACCAAAACCTCAGAGTCTGCACTAGTCTAACCTGTTCTGTGCCTCCCTCAAAGCCCAGGCTTTGAGTCCCCCAGAATCTTTAGGGACCTGGTGCTTTACCCTCCTCCCCTTAAGTGGAAGCCAGTTCCAGTGGCTTCTGAGCCTCAATTTTCTCACTGGGAAATTAGTGTCTCCACTCTTCTCAGAGTTGGGCTAGTTCCCAAGGTGGGGCAGGGGTCTCCCTTTCTTGTAGATCATTTGGTGTGGACCCTTATGTGCCCTAGGCTGGCTTTACATATCTGCTGCTGACCTTCCTCTCTAATCCCATGCTCTGGTCTCCACTCTCAGGCAGTTGGACAATCCTCTGCCCTGGAAGAAGGCCACAGAGCCTATGAATCTCTGTTTAGGGAAACTGAGGCATGGGGCACAGAGGCGTTGTGCAGTTGTTATACTGATTCTGGGTTGCTTACAGTGCTGTTTCTGGTCCTCCTGACTAGATCCATCAAAGGGTTGGCGACAGATGAAGCTGAGCTGCTAGAGGGGCTCTAGGGACCCAAGTCCTATAGAAGATAGCAGATGGGGGTTGGAGAGATGGCTGGGGGTATCTAGCTGAGAAGGAGGAATTGTAAAGGGAAACATCCAGGTCTTCAAGCTTCTTTTCCATTTCCTTATTCTGTGTCTTCAACATATTGGACCTCCTTTACCTGAGCTGCCGGAAGGATAAGGAGAGTCTGGGGATAAGTAGAATCTGGGGAACTGTCCTGGCTGGAGAACTGCAACAGCTGGCCTCTTCCCCACCAAAATGCCCCAAGAATCTGGCTGCTTTGAGGGATACTGGAGAGTTCAGTCTTGAAGGTACAGATATCAGGGATAGCTAGGACCCAGGGGTTCAGAGCACATGGCCATGGAAACCTTAGGGTACTGCTGGGTATCTCAAGTCCTTTCAAAGCCTCTTCCCTACCTCCCCTTTTCTCCTTGTGTGTCAATGTCCCTCTTACTGTCACCTTCTTGCTTCTCTTCTATCACAGGTTCTGCTTTTGTCTGTGTCTTTGACCCTCTACACCTTCTCTTTTCTAGTCTCTCAGTTCCCCCACTTCCCTTTCTTCAATAAGGACCAGGGTCACAGAACCCATGGGGAAGGAGCTAGGTCAAAGCATGAGAGAATTCTTAAAGAAGGGACCTGGCTAACATCTTTCCCTTCCCCCTCTCCTTGTTTTAAAACTTCCATCACCATAGCAACCCTTTACTCTAGTGCCTTCCTCTGCATTTCCCCTCCTCCAACCAAAAGGAAGTAGGGCCGCCAGTGGATTCTCTTTCAGGGGTTCAAAGAATGGAGGACCCCAGGTCCTAGGTAGGGGTGGTAGTGCAGTTGGCTCTTGATTCTACCTGCATATTGAGGACTGAATTTTCTGTAGGTAACACTGAGCATGCCCACGTGCAAGTTGGTGTTGGGGGGTGGGTGGGGGTGGGGGTGGGAGAGGACCCCCTGTTCCTTATTCCCTCATTAGGTGGGGAGAGTAGTACCAGGAACTGTTGACTGTGGCACAATTATAGCCAGCCAGGGTAGCCCCATACACAGGTTCCTGAAGCAGTTGCACAGTGGGCTTTGCCTTCTGATACCAGACCTGTGAGGAGGTCTCTACCTGGGCCTGTGGCTGAGTCTAGCTGTGAGCTAGACAGGTCTTGGGCCTGGACAAGTCCATTGCCGCAGGAAACCCAGCCCTATTCCCTGAGAGGGGAGGGGAAGGGGTGCCTGCAGTCTGATGTTCACAGCTGCCACTAAATATGGAGGTGTTGCCTACAGTTTTTGGGAGGCAGCTGGAGGCCTCCTGAACCCTTCCTGGCCTTCATATTTACTGCAAGCTCTAGAGTCCCACATAGTAAGGGCCAGAGCAGCAAGCAGGAAACGCCTAGTTATGGCTATGAAAGGTGGGTCCTAAATCAAGCTGATCCCATGGAGAAGGGGAAAGGACCTTGATATGGGGCCTCTTGTCCTCTGTTTTACTTGGGCATCCCCTGAATCAGACTGACTAAAGATTAGTAAAGCCCCTATGGGACCTGTTATTTCTAGGGCACCAAGGGAAAGAGGCTCCCTCAGGGTTCCCTGAGACTCAATTCCCTGAGTCCAGTGGTCAGGTCTAGGGAAGCAGGCAGTAACTGGGAAGTGCTGGGCCCTCAGGTTCCCTAAGAGCCAGCTGGAGGGCAGTGGCAACGCTAGGCTCTGCACTCCCCTCAAGTGCCCTTTGACAGCCCCAGGTGCACACTGTTTTGTTTCTCCTGCAGAGAGGGGAAGGAACTATATCTCCAAGGAAATGGCTGCTGTGGGGCCACTGTGCCCTCCTTAGGCTAATGTGGATCTGACTTGAGGAAGAGGCAGGTCCTGTGTTGCTGGAAGCAGAGCTCTCTATTGTTGGGTCTAGGCAATGGAGCTAATAATTGCAAACTCCTTGGTTGCTCCTTTAGCGTTGGGGGCAGGGTCCATCTTTTTGCAGACAGATGCAAGGGGCTTGGCGCACCCAATCTGCAGCCTCCCATGGAGTAGCAATGTTACTGGCCACCGAGCCCAAGGACCCTTCCTGGATTCTGGCTGGCTGGATTTGGCTGTCCACCCATAGAAGAAATATGCAAAAAAAAAAAAAAAAAAAATGGAAAAAGGAAATATGAGCTTTTTGAACAGTTTGATCAAACCTGGGAGAAGTACCTAGATTGTTTCTTCCCATCCTACAGAAGTAGTTATAATTTATGGGAACAAAAAATGCAGGTGATGAACCTATGCAAATTTTGTTAGCCTGTGTTAGACCTGAGTGGGCAGTCTCCAGCTCCCATCTTTTTTTGGTGCCTATTAATGTCTGTGTGTGTGTGTGTGTGTGTGTGTGTGTGTGTGTGGCGGGGGGAATCTCACCAGGAGGAAGTTCCTCTTAATTCAGAGGGGGCCCCCAAATTCAATCTGTTTCAGCAGTGGGTAGCAGATGGTGTAGTGGGTGGGGATGGAAGGGATGAAAGTGCTAATTGGAAATATGGCCCCCCTTTCTCCTCTCTTCACCCTGAAGCCTGGTCAGGGGCACAGTGAGTTCAATTAGATTGATGAGGTGGATAATAATTGGTTGAGATCAGGGCAGCCATAGTAGGGGAGAGGCAGATCTGTTCCTGTCCTAGCATTGAGTCTGCAGGACATGGCTCCAGGCTGATGTTACTGTAAGCTTTCCATGGTGGAGACAGACCCTAAGACCAGTTCTGGGCCTCCGTGGGCATGAGTTCATATGCAAAACCAAAAGCTGGGACCAGGATCAGGCATACACAAAACCTCCCACCCACACCATGCTGGCAGAGATGGGAGCTGTTGGAATGGGGTGGGGCAAAGATTGGAGAAGGTATCTCAGAGAAGGGCCATTTTGCATCTGTGGAACATCAGAATTGTTTTAAACAATTTGTTGCAGAGACAACCTTAATGTCAGAAATCACAATGAGAGAATAAATTCAGCTCTGGTCTAGCACCTTGTTCGTGTGAAGACTGCTCCATAGGGAAGCTAAGGTGGGCAGGACCTTGCCAATGCTCACTTTTCCTGCCATTGAGTAGATTATAGTCAAGCTGGCAAGTTACCTGTTGTTGGACATTTAGGTAGTTGCTTTTTCTTTTTCTTTTTTTAACGTTATAAATAACTCTGCAGTGACAAATAAGATTCTGATGGGAGACTCTGGGGGAAGGGCATTTGTGTCAGAGCAAATTGTGTAAGCAAAGCAATGGAGCTGGGACACAGGTCCCTCATTGCCCTCCTGGGAAACTTGCAGGCTGAGCTATCACCCTTCTGCCTAGTGCAGGTCCCTCAGATTCCAGGCTGGGAGGGCAATTGCTGCCTATTAGAGTGGATGAGGTCTGATGGAGTTCCCCTCCCCAAGATGTTACATAGTGTGGAGATGGGTGACTAGCATGGTAGGTAGTTGTGCCTCTGCTCTCAGCTGCAAAAATGGGATTCCAGCCACATGCTCTTCTTCCTCAATAGATGCAGGAGCAGGGCTGTGGCCACGGTGGCAACAATCTTCAAAGCCTCACTTGTTTGCCTCTGCGATGCCTCACTAGATGGCTTAAAATCTGCCTTGAATCATGCTGACAAAATATGTTTATATTCCCTGAGCCCAAGCAACCCAGATGAATTAGAATGTGTTCCCTTATACCGAGGGCACATTTAAGGGAGGATCTCCAGGGGTTTGGCCTCTGGGAATTGGGGCTGGTTTCTGCCTGGGAAGAAGTGAGTAGCAGTCAGGGCCTGTTTGCGTCCTAGGCTTTGGCCCCTGCTGGTAGAGTCCCTCTTGCTAAGCTTTGTCCTCTAGGAATGGCGTTCTCCATTTACCACTGCCCTGGGGTTGTGAGTGCCTTCAACAGGGAAGCATCTGGTTACTCAAGGCCCCAGTTAGGCCCTGCACACAGCAGGTGCTGTTGGTGTGAAGGGAGCACATACACAGCAGAGGCAGAGCAATTCCAGGGCATCCTCAGAGTGGAACCTGCTATAGGCCCAGGCTCACACTGACCAGGTATCATAGAGCAGACTCTGGAGTCAGGTCTGTAAAGGTCCTCTATCTCTGAACAAGGACTGAGGGTATCTTTTCCTTTGGGTGCTGGAACCAGCCACACAACATAACAGATGAAGACTGGGCCACAGCTGACAGAGTTGCAGACCTGGGGGCACCATACCCCAGGTTCAAAGAGTGCCTGGAGCCTACTTAGACAGTTATATCTGGTCTGGGGCCTCACTTCTGTACCTAATGCTGGGTCCCTATGGGCCCAACAATGTAGTATAGTGCTAGGCAGGCTTGTCTTGCTTTTGCTCATCATTACCTCTGAATATCTTCTGACCAATCCTTCCCCTTGGGCTCAGGGAATATAAACCTAGTCAAATTTTGCCTTTCCACCCAGATGGAGCTTTTCCCTCAGAAGAATACCCTAAGCACCATGCCTAAATGCAATACTTACTAAAGCAATCAAAGTCATCATACTAAAAATTCTAACAGAAACAAAAGTTTTATTTTTGAGGGTTCTGCTCCTTCAATATCCAACTCTGTCCCAAAGAGAACTCTTATTTCCTTTGGTGTCCTTCCAAAGTTCTTTTTTGGTATCCTTCACAATTTGTGGCTGTGGGGGGGTGGGGGTAGGGTTGTAAAAGTATACCAGTATGAACTTTAAAATATTTCCCAAATAGCAGTACCCTTTACCCACCATTCTGTCCCTTTTTTAACTGAACAACTGAGAATAAAGTGAAGCACACCTTATTCTTTTTTTTTTTTTAACATTTATTTTTTAGGTGTAGATGGACACAGCACAATGCCTTTATTTTTATGTGGTGCTGAGGATCAAATCAGGGTCCCGCCCGTGCTAGGCAAGCGCTCTACCACTAAGCCACAACCCCAGCCCTCATACCTTATTCTTTTTTTTTTTTTTTTTTTTTTTAAGAGAGAGACAGAGAGAGAGAGAGAGAATTTTTTTTAATATTTATTTTTTAGTTATCGGCGGACACAACATCTTTGTTTGTATGTGGTACTGAGGATCGAACCCAGGCCGCACGCATGCCAGGCGAGTGTGCTACCGCTTGAGCCACGTCCCCAGCCCTCATACCTTATTCTTAATAGGTACCAAGTATTCTTCAATGTGGATGGCCTCCAGGCTTTTTTTTTTTTTTTTTTTTTTGGCCTCCAGTTTTAATAATGCCCTTTTATTGTGAAGTATAATAAAAATCTAGGAATGTGCTCCAAGCGTGTACATTTTTATAAATTGTTATAAGGCACAAACCTGTGTAACTACTATTGAGGTTCAGAAACAAGCCCTCTACCTGGGTGTGGTGGTACATACTTGTAATCCAGGATAGGAGGCTGAGGCATGATGATTGCAAATTTGAGGTCAGTCTGGGCAACTTAGCAAGATCCTATCTCAAAACAAAAAATGACTGGGTTGGGGCTGTAGTTGTAGCTTAACGGTAGAGTACTTGCCTCACACATGTGAGGCACTGGATTCGATTCTCAGTACCACATGTAAATAAATAAAGAAAGGTCCATCAACAACTAAAAAAATATTTTTAAAAATTTTTAAAAAGAAGATCTGGAGAAGTAGCTCAGTGATAGCATGCCCCTGGGTTCAGTCCTTTTACCACATGCATGAAAGAAGCCCTTCAGAAGCCCCCACATGTCCTGAATCAGTCACCATCTCTCCTTTCTCTTAGAAGGAACCATTATATGACTCAAAGGTGCTTATTCTCTAGCTTTTCGTTATAGTGCATTTGTATCCCTGAATGGTATGAATTGTTTTTGAGTTCTGTGGCAATAGAATCATACTGTATATATTCTGTACCCTTTCTCACTGAGCACTGTAAGATTAATTGGTTCCATATAGCTGTAGCTCCTTCATTTTCACTGCAGTATAATGTGACTCTATAATAATATGTCCTGTAGTGGTGGATAGTTGAGCTGTTTCCAGTTTTTGGCAATTATGAATATGGCTGCTATGAGCATTCTAGTACAAGTGTTCTGAAGCACAAATGTATGTGTTTGTATAGGGCAGATGTTTACCAGTGTATCAGGCATGTCTGTTCAACCAAACTGTTTCTTAAAGGGGAGAGTTGCCCTTTACCATGTTGTTCACATCTTTGCCAATACTTGCTATCTCCAGATCTTCAGGGATGAATATCTGGTAAATGGGTGGTTATAGCCCCTTAATCAGTAAAATGGCTAAAATTTATTTTTATTTATCATTTCTTGTGGCATGGGGATTAAACCTGGGAGCACTTCATCACTGAGCTACATCCACTGCCCTTTTTATTTATTTATTTATTTTTTTTAAGGAGAAAGAGGAGATTTTAATATTTATTTCTTAGTTTTCGGTGGACACAGCATCTTTATTCTATTTGTATGTGGTGCTGAGGATCGAACCCAGCGCCCCACGCTTGCCAGGCAAGCATGTTAGCGCTTGAGCCACATCCCCAGCCCCCTTTTTATGTTTTTAATTAATTGTTTTCAGTACTAGGAATCAAACCCAAGGCCTTGCACATGCCAGGCAAGCACTCTATCATTAAGCTACATTCCCAGTTCTTATTTTTTATTCTGAGACAGGATCTAAGTTGCCCAGGTTGCCTTTGAACTTGTCATTTTCCTGCCTCAACCTCCCAAGTAGCAAGAATTATAGGCGGGTGCCACTCTACTTGGCTAAAATAGCTAAAATTTAAAGAAGTTGTTTGATAAGTCTTCTCAAGTGTATATAATATAGAACTATTCCCTGATATATCAGCATAACACATTTGTAGTTCTGGCAGCCAAATTGAGTGATTGGATATATGGCCAGAAAAGAGGGTAGGTCTCAGCCTGCTTACCTTGAGCCCTTTCTGGTGCTCTGGCTTGGCTTGAGCCAGGCTAGGGTCTCTCAAAGGCAGATCTGATGTGGGAGAAGTAGAGTGGTATAGCTGAGCTAGATCCCAATCCTGCCCACAGCTTAGAGCCTGGCAATGCCGTTTGGGTGTGTGACTCTGGGTGACAAGAAGAACTATAACCAGCCATCGGAGGTGACTGACAGATATGATTTGGGACAGGTCATCAAGACGTGAGTGCTGGGCCTGCTGGGCAAAAATGGGTGGGTGGGCAAGCAGAGGGGGCGTGGAATGTACCCTACACTAAGGCCAGGACTGAGTGGATGACCTGCCTGCTACAGTGAGGAGTTCTGTGAAATCTTTCGGGCCAAGGACAAGACTACAGGCAAGCTGCACACTTGCAAGAAGTTTCAGAAGCGGGATGGCCGCAAGGTGCGGAAGGCAGCCAAGAATGAGATCGGCATCCTCAAGATGTGAGTTGAGGTCTGGTCTGGGGGCAGGGAAGGATAGGAAGCTGTAGGGAAGGGCTTAAAGGGCAGGTAGACTCAGGCAATACCATCCTCTGGCTAGTCAGTGTCCTGTGGCTGCCACAGTGACCAGGGACTCTCCTAAGGGTTCACCTAGTTCTAACTACTGACTTCTCCCCGCCTCTAGGGTGAAGCATCCCAACATCCTGCAGCTGGTAGATGTATTTGTGACCCGCAAAGAATACTTCATCTTCCTGGAGCTGTGAGTAAGGGTCTGGGATCCCAGGATTCCCTAGTCCCTGGGGTCTTTATTTGTCCTGCCCTCGGCAACTAAGGAAAGACCCCTCTCTGGACCCTTGGGGTTCTAAGTCCCTGTGCCTTGCCCAGTCATCTGCCTGGTGAAGGGAGGCCTCCCAAACACTCCTGCCCCGTCCCCAATCCTGCCCACGCCGGGCTCAGGGGCTGGTGTCCCTCAGGGCCACGGGGAGGGAGGTGTTTGACTGGATCCTGGACCAGGGCTACTACTCGGAACGAGACACGAGCAATGTGGTGCGGCAGGTCCTGGAGGCTGTGGCCTACTTGCACTCACTCAAGATTGTGCACAGGAACCTCAAGGTGAGTCAAGGTTCAGAATCACTGGGTCAATTTGCAGCCAAGCTGGGGTTGGAGTACAATGGGAAGTATCTTGGGGCATTGGTCCAGACTTTGAGGCCCTCATGGTATCCTCTTCTGCCTACCCAAATGACATGTGGCTTGAGCAGCTGGAGAACCTGGTTTACTACAACCGGCTGAAGAACTCCAAGATTGTCATCAGCGACTTCCACCTGGCTAAGCTAGAGAATGGCCTCATCAAGGAGCCTTGTGGGACCCCTGAGTATCTAGGCAAGCAGGGATGGGACAGGGGCAGGTTGGGGGAGGTCAGCCTTGAGGGAATCACTTTGGGTAGGGGGATGTCCCTATCTCAGGTAGTAGTTGTGGATGGCCTGATGCTGACTAGCATTTGGACATTGTTTGTAGCCCCGGAGGTGGTAGGCCGGCAACGGTATGGACGCCCTGTGGACTGCTGGGCCATTGGTGTCATCATGTATATCCTGTGAGTGGATGGGTAGACATGTAGGCTTGCAGCTGGGTGGGGTGAAGCCCTATGTCTGGCTATCTTGGGTGACTCTGCTTCCATGTAGGCTTTCAGGTAACCCACCCTTCTATGAGGAGGTAGAAGAAGATGACTATGAGAACCATGATAAGAATCTGTTCCGGAAGATCCTGGCTGGCGACTATGAGTTTGACTCTCCATACTGGGATGATATTTCTCAAGCAGGTGAGGAGATGCTCAGTATGTGGGTAGAGTGTAGGGCAGTGGGAAGGGAGGCGCTGCTCTCAGCTTCTCTGCTGGATTCTGCTCCTGCCCCCCAGCCCATTCATCACCTCTAGACAATGAGATGGGGCGCCCATGCGTAGCTCCTTCCTGGCTTTGTCCCCAGCCAAAGACCTGGTCACAAGGCTGATGGAGGTGGAGCAAGACCAGCGGATCACTGCAGAAGAGGCCATCTCCCATGAATGGTGAGCAAGGCCCAGGAGAGAACTGAAGGAGGAGAGGCCAGGCTTCTCTTGACTTCTATTCCCCTCATACCTAAATGTCCCCATCCCTGAGGCCTTGACCCAAGTTCCTGCCAGCCCACAGACTTTGCTTGGTAGTCTTGGATCCTGTAGTGGGAGGGCTGGACAGAATCTTCCCAAAGACCCATATCTCTCAGATCCAGATGTACTTGTACCCTTCCCAGGATTTCTGGCAATGCTGCTTCTGATAAGAACATCAAGGATGGTGTTTGTGCCCAGATTGAAAAGAACTTTGCCAGGGCCAAGTGGAAGGTAAGTTTTGATTGTTCTCTTTCTTGGCCCAGTCCTAAGTGTTCCTTCTGATACCCAGTTTCTTGCCCATACCACACCTCTGCAAAACCATACACAAGCTTTCTTTAGGTTCTCATGAATGGCTGTCATGACCTTAAGCGGAGTACTGAGCAGTTGGATCCCTGGTCTAAGGTGGTCAGAAGTAGCTGGGGTACCATGGAAGGGGCTGGGTTTAGCAATTGCCAGGGATTGGATCCAGCTAGCCTCACCTTGAGTTTCTCCTCCACTGTCCTCCTTTCAGAAAGCTGTCCGAGTGACCACCCTCATGAAACGGCTCCGGGCACCAGAGCAATCTGGCACAGCTGCAGTGCAGTCTGGCTCAGCCACAGACACTGCCATCCCTGGGGCTGCAGGTGGGGCTGCAGCTGCAAGTGGATCTGCCACAGAGGGTGATGCTGCATGTGCTACCAAGAGTGAAAATGTGGCCTCTGCAGACCGTAGTGCCACCCCAGCCACAGATGGCAGCACCACTCCAGCCACTGATGGGAGTGTCACCCCAGCCACTGATGGGAGCATCACCCCAGCCACTGATGGCAGTGTCACCCCAGCCACTGACAGAAGCGCTACTCCAGCCACAGATGGGAGAGCCACACCAGCCACAGAAGAGAGCATGGTGCCCACCACCCAAAGCAGTGTCACACCAGCTGCCAAGGCAGCTGCCACCCCTGAGCCGGCTATGGCCCAGCCGGACAGCACAACCCTAGAGGGTGCCACAGGCCAGGCTGTACCCTCTAGTAAAGAAGGGGCTACTGGCTATGCCCAGGAGTCTCGAAGAGAGGAGACCAGCTGAGTGGGCAGCCTGGTGGGGGATGGGGGGCGGGCAGGAGGGTGGGAGAGTGAATGAGGGGCTTTTCATTGTACATAGAGTCACTGGCATGATGCCCTTGCTCCCCCAAGCTCCCCATCCTAGTGGGGCATTCCTGGGGGCCACGGGAGAGCAGTCTTGTCTCCTGTGTGTATGTGCGAGTGGTGGGCAGGCCAGAGGCAGGGCCAGCCCCAACCCCTGCATGGATACCTTGTGGCTTTTCTGTCTGTTGCTACCTTCACGAATTTTTGTTCCTTGTGGGATGCTGCTCTAGGGATCTCAGGGGGTCCCTGCTCTCTTTCTCCTTCCCTTCCTGCCTCATCATTCACCCAGGCAGGCCCTGCAGGTTCCATACTTTCCCAGGCCCTAAATTGAGTGGCCTTGCCCTGAGAGCTGGTCCTCCAGCGAGGCCCTGTCAGTGGTGTTAGGCTCCTACATATGAAGGTGTGTACCTGTGGTATGTGGGCTGCTTTAGGAGTAGACGCTGGCTAGTACAGAGTATCCAAAAATCTAGGGCAGTTTTCTTTAAATCAAGATTGGTCATGTGTTGGCTGGGGGCACTAAATGCTAGCTGTGGGGGTCCTTAGAAATATGAGCGATGATAAGAGAATGAGTAGGAGGGTAGAAGCTTCCATCTTTGTCCCTGGGAAGGCCCTCCTGAGACGCTTGTGTTATTTCTTGCCCTCTTGAGTCCTGCAGTGGGTTGCCCTGAACCTCTTGGGCCTCTACGGGAAAGGAGAAGCAATTAGGATGTGGCAATGAGACCTCGTAGAACATAGTACAGGACTAGCACCCAGTGCCCCAGCCTAGCTGGATCCTTACCATGGGCTAAACAGGGAGGGCTGATGTCCCCATTCTCTTTCTGTATGCTAACCCTGCACAGGCTCAGCCCATAAATCTTCTCTATCCCAGGGGGGCTGCTGATTGGTAATCCTTAGTATGATCTGGGGGTTTGCCCTTCAGAGGGGTGGATTTTCTGCTCTCAGTTTAACAAGAACATGGAGAAGATCCTTCTCTGTTTTTACTCTTGCTACTGTTAGAGGCCTAGGAGCCTCTGAGCCATGTTAAGTTGCTCTTGCTGGGATGAAGAAGTATAAGACTCCCTAGTACCCTGAGGGAGGTTCCTGACAGGTGCCCTTTGTCAGACACTACCACAGCCTGGACAGGCAACCATACTGGTCCTCGCCCTTGCTTGGCATTCCATGGTGGTCCTGCCGTTCTCCTTGCATGCCTGTGGGTCTGCTCTGGTACGTGAAGGTTGGTGGGCTAATTGTGTGCCTGCTGAACCTGGCAAATAAACGTCACCCTGCAAAGCCTCTGGCCACCCTCTTGCCTTTGCTTCCTCTGTCCTACCAAGGAAGAGTCCCTGGAAGGCAGTGGGGAGGGGAGAGGCTGGGAGAAGGTTCACAGGTAGTAGCTGATGCTCAGTAGATTGCTTGAGCTGAGAGTGAAGGTTACTCTCAACCAGTTGATCCACAAAGGTGGTGATTGATGGGTGTCCTCTGGACTCTAGAAATCCATGTGGGTGGTGCATTCTGAGCTAGATATGGGCCCAGGAATACTTCCTGGGCTGAAAGCTCAAGTAAGGCTGCTGTTCTGACTTCTGTTGATTAAAGGAGCCTTTGTCTCAACTTGGGTACAGAGCCAGAACCCATCCAGGGCCAACCACCACAGCAAGCAACCTTTGCTCATAGCCTAAGTGGGCTTTCCTTAGTTGGGGAGAAGGTATAGGATGGGCATTGCACAAAGGTTCTATACTGCTGTGTGTTGATTCCTTCCTGTGAACACCTGTGCTTTCCACATAGGCCCAATGGGATTTTGCTCGGTGGCTTCTTCAGCTCATGGGGCTCTGCACAAAGTTTCTTCAGGAGAGAGTAACCCTGTCAAAACGGCTGAAGATCCCAAAGTAGTCTTGCTCTAGCCCAGAGTTGAACTCACCAGGGTTGCTGCTTTCTCAGGGAGAATCTCAAAGAATAACTTATTCTTTTGTGGGAATAATAAAAAGGGTTGTTAGTTCCTGGTCTTCGAAGCATTTATGCCTCCAAAATTGCAACCCTACTACATTCTCAGGCATAATGAATCCTGGGAGCTGAGAGCTAAATTAAGTTACTGGCCCTAGTATCTCCAAACCCGGGGATCATTAGCTCTTACTTAGATAAAGCCAAGGTTACTGTGGGTCGTGCTGACTGGTTGGGCCATACATATCCATCTTTCCAAGATCACTAATAATCTTAAACCGAGAGGGTGGGGCATTCTTTTGGTCTGGGAACTATAAGCTGCCAGTGCGCGTTCTGTAAGCGGAACTATAAGAGGTCCAGCACTGCCCAGAACCCGGGGACCTATGGGGACCACGGTTCCATCCCCTTGTGGCTGCAGTCTTGACTTTCCCTGAGTGCTGAAAGAAGAGACAGCCCAGGCCTGGTCATTTCGCGCCAGCTTGGTACCACAACAGCCAGTTTTGCTTGGAAGAAGGGTTATCTCGCAGCGTCGCTGCTTTCCGCCCTAACCCAAGGCAGTGCCCTTTGTCTCAGGGGTTGGTGGAGGTTTCCAAAAATCGCTTAAGAGCCACCGCGCTCAATCCCAGGATTCTCTACGGTCGAGGGCCGCTAAACCTCATCAATGGTCCCGCCCCGCCGGGAGTTAATCCAATCAGAGCCAAACATTCAGGCTCTTTTCCCGGTTTGGTGTCGTCATTTCCGGTTTATTCCCGGAAGTCGTGCTGTGGAGCCAAATTTGAAGCAAGCCGAGACGCGGGGGCGCGGCCACGAAGTTGGACCTGTTGCAGTTTCCTTGGCTACCTGGTCCGCTTGAGTCCAGCCATCATGCCTATCCGTGCCCTGTGCACTATTTGCTCGGACTTCTTCGACCACTCCCGCGACGTGGCGGCCATCCACTGTGGACACACCTTCCACCTTCAGTGGTGAGTGACAGCGGTGTACGGGCCCACACTTGCCCTGGTACTGCTTCGGGGCCTTAGGGTGTCGGACCTTCAGGCAACCCATACTCGAAGCCCAGATGGGCGGTGAGGACCTCAATAAACTGAGCTCCGCGGGAGCTTCCAGACCTGGGCTGAAGTGGGTAAGGCGGAGGTGATAACTGAGCCCCCAGGGGGCAGAATTGGTGTAGTGAAGAGAGTAGGGGCTTCCATGAACACTTGTGCAAAGAGATGTGACTTCAAAACTATTAGCCTGAGCAGAGTTGAGCTTCCACTACATTAACAAGCCCTTTTATCTCTTCAAGATAGAAACTTAACAGGCTTCTGACCACCCAAAAGGTTTTGCTGTGGATTGATTCTATCTAGAATCATCTCATGAGCCAAATACACCAGTTTATGCACCACGCCAGCGAACTCGATTTAATATGGAAAGGCAAGGAGATACTTCCCTATCAAGGGATCCTGCTGACTATATAGGACCATTTTGTTGAGTGTAATAGTAATAGTCACAGGGAACTCTTAGGACCAAAGGCCTCAGGGAGCAGGTAGCTAGGCATCACCCTGATAGCTACAGGGTGCCCCTTACTTGCAAAGCTCAGGGTTTCTGATGGCCTGAGCCCCATGCTGAGGGAACCATTGTTGTTTGATTAGAAACCAAAGATCACTTCTTAAAATATTTTATTTACTGTTATATCCTCTATTTTCTAACTTTTCACTTTAGTCTTTTCTGTGTATTCATGTTTTACATGTGAAAACAACCTTTAGTTGGACTTTAAAAATCTCCTCTTATAATCTTTGTATTTAACTGGACCATTTAGTCTACTTAAAATGTTGCAATGCGGGTGCAGTGGCAACTAGGTAGACAGACAGGAGGATCACATGTTCAAGGCTTAGTGAGGGGCTGGGGATGTGGCTCAAGTGGTAGCGTGCTCGCCTGGCATGCGTGCAGCCCGGGTTCCATCCTCAGCACCACATACAAACAAAGATGTTGTGTCCGCCGAAAACTAAAAAATAAATATTAAAAAATTCTCTCTCTCTCTCTCTCTCTCTCTCTCTCTCTCTCTCTTTAAAAAAAAAAAAAAAAGGCTTAGTGAGACCCTGTCTCAAATTTTAAAAAATAATAAAAAATAGATGGAGATGTAACTCAGTGGTACAAACCTCCCCCCACCACCACCACCATTGTTCATTCCCTAGTAAAAAAAAGCAAAAGACAAAAATAATGATAATTATAAAATTATAATGATGCAATTACTGAATGAAGATTAAGTATCCTATTTGGTGTTTTCTGTTTTGTTTGGCCTGTTTCTTATTTACTCCTTTCTTGTTTTAATTTGAATTGGTTACATACTTTGTATTGCTCCTTTTTTTCCCCTGAATGAGTTTGGAAGATATATACCCCATTTTCATTCTTTTAGTAATTATACTATATATAGTCTTAACATACCAAATTCAAAATTAATCAACACCTTTTTCACTTGCCAGGTAACTCAGAGTTTAGAATACTAACACTTTTTTTTTTTAAATATATTTTTTAGTTATAACTGGACACAACATCTTTATTTATTTGTTGTTATGTGGTGCGAGGATCGAACCCAGGGCCTCCCATGTGCTAGAGGAGCACTCTACTGCTAAGCTACCACCTCAGCCCCCTAACACACTCTTTCTACATTATTGTTTTTTGAGTAATAAACTTTTTATTTACAATAATTTTTTATTTACAGACAAGTTGTAAAGATAGTACAGATAGTATTTATTTATTTATTTTTCTGGTACTAGGGATTGAACACAGAGGCACTTAACCACTGAGCCACATCCCTAGCCCATTTTATTTTTTTTAAAAAAAAAGAGAGAGAGAGAATTTTTTTAATATTTATTTTTTTTTAGTTTTCGGCAGACCACAACATCTTTGTTTGTATGTGGTGCTGAGGATAGAACCTGGGCCGCATGCATGCCAGGCAATCGCACTACCGTTTGAGCCACATCCCAGCCCCTAGCCCATTTTTTACATTTTATTTAGAGGCAGGGTCTCACTGAGTTGCTCAGTGCCTCACCATTGCTGAGGTTGGCTTTGAACTTGAGATCCTCCTGCCTCAGCCTCCCAAGCTGCTGAGATTATAGACATGAGCCACCTCACCCAGCAGGTTTTTTTTTTTTTAATTATTTAGTTAATTAATTAATTTTTATGTGGTGCTGAGGATTGAACCCATGGCCTCACATATGCTAGGCAAGCACTCTACTGCTGAGCCACAACCCCAGCCCAGTTTTTTTTTTTTTTAACTTATTTTTTATTTTTTAGTTGTAGTTGGACACAATACCTTTATTTTATTTATTTTTATGTGGTGCTGAGGATGGAACCTAGGGCCTTGCACGTGCTAGGGGGCACTCCACCACTGAGCCGCAACTTTAGCCCCAGTTTTTTTTTTTTTTTTTTAATGAAGAGTCCCAGTCAAGTATTTTGTAGAATATCTGTCAACTTGAGTTTCTCTGATATTTTCTCATGATTTGACTGGGATTATAGGTTTTGGGGAAGTATGCTATAGAGGTAAGGTGCTCTTCTCATGGTATCTTATTGAGGGGTACATGCTAACAACATACTTATCTCTGATGGTATTAACCTTGATCCCTTAGTTAAGGTGGTGTCTACCAGATTTCTCCATCATGAAGTTACAGGACCAGTTCATACTCAAGTAGAAAGGAATTAAGCTCTACACTATTTGGAATTCTTTGTAAGGAATTTGGTATTTTCTCTGTTTATTCAGTCATCTATGTAATGGGCTTATATGTTTTTTTGGATATATACCTGGGAGTGGATAGGCTGACACATGGGAATTCTATGTTTAGCTTTTAGCTTTTGAGGAATTGCATACTATTTTCCATAGCAACTGTATCTTTTTTATTTTTTTTCCCCTTTTTGAGATGGGGTCTAATTATGTTGTTCAGGCTGATCTTGAACATCACTTTAGTTTCTTTCATTTTGTTTATTTATTATTTCGATGTTGTTTGTTTATTTATGATTTGTTTGTTATGATTTCTGGTGTTGGGATTGAACCTAGGACAATTATGAACTCTACAATAACTGAGCTACACTATTACTTGCATCTTTTTAAATTCCCACCAAAAATACATGAGGTTTCTACAACACTTGTCATTTTTCCATCTTGTTTTTGTTTTTGTTTTCTTCAGTGTTGGAGATTGAATCCGGGGCCTTATACACCTGGAACTTGCTCTACCACTGAGCCACACACATGGCCCTCCATTTTTGGATAACAGCTATCCTAGTGGATTTAACATGACATTTTGCTTACTACCTTCCCTCCCTCCCTCTCTTTCTCCCTTCCTCCCTTTGTTCGTTCGTTGGTTCCTTCCTTCCTCCCTCCCCTC